CATCCCTACCCACTATGGTGCTTGTCTGTGTTATTACTGCTATGACAACACATTTTGCCAGAAAATGGATTTGGATTCATCCCTACCCACTATGGGGTTTCCAAGGATGTACATCTCTATGAGAATAAATGCCTCAGCTTTCCAGTGCTTACTCCACAGTGCTACCAGGGGTCCTGAGGTACATACACACTGGGCCCGGGCTAATTGCCATATGCTATCTATCAGAATCACTAGAAGTTGGAATCAACTCCATGGAAGTGGGTCTGTGTTTTGGGGGTCTGAGATTTTAGACACCTACGGTTATTGGAAGAACCCCTGGGAACACATTAGTCCCACACTCAGTTGCTAGGTAGGTTGGTGGTTCAAACCCACCCAGTGGCTGCCAGAAAGAAAGGCCTGGCCATCTGTTTCCATTAACATCACAGCCTAGAAAACCCTTTGGGGCAGGTCCACTCTGTCACGTGGGTCACTCTGCGTCAGAATAGACCCAGTGGCGCCTCACAGCATCACCCCAATATAGGAAGAGCCCTCTCCACAGAACCAGAATCCTCATGTAGAACTCTCAGAAGGGGCTTGGAAATATGAAGAAGCCCTGGGGCACTGTCACTAAGCATTGCACGGCTAACAGCCAGGGGGGTGCTTCAACCCCGCCAGCCACTCAGCAAGAGAAGGTTGAGGCTGGTCTCTGCTCCTTTAAAGATTTATCATCTCAGAAAACCTATAATGGGTCGCTGTGAGTCAGAATTGACCTGGGTGGTGGTTTTCCCTCTTTTTTAAAGCACACCAAGAGGTGACCTTGAAAAGGCCAACCGTATTTTGTACAAACATGTAACTGAAGAGAGGAGATAGAAATGGACTTCAGTAGACTTCATTCTCTGTCAGAACGTATTCAAAAGATCTACTCTTCATAAAAGAAACGTGTATCCCCTTCCCCCAATTCTCTTCACCTTACTCTAGTCCTGCACTGCATCCCTCTTCATTTGTTTCATCCTTACAGAGAAAACCTCTACTTGGCATACTTAATTTAGACTAGTTTGTTTTTATTGTAGGTGAATTTAACTTCTATTCACCACCCCCTTCTTCCCCCAACTTCTTGTGTGGTCTCAGCGGAGTGTTGTAACAGCTTAGGGAACAGGCATTGCTTTTATGCATATTTCATGACCCTCAAATCCATACACACCTTAACTTATTCATGGTCAGTGTTACATTTCTATCAGCATTCTTTTCATAATCACTCATTTGTCTTAGGATTCGAATAATAATTTTCACAATGCTGTCTATAATATAAAATATTGTTGAAAGATAAAATACTGTCTCTTTTCACAACACATCCAAGTGCTCACATGGGAATTTAAATAACATCATCCATATGAAGATGGTATGCTTTTATTTTAATAAGGCATATTATATTCTAAGCCATGTTTCTGATTCCCAAGCTATATAGCAAGCATTGGCTGTATTTGTTATTTTACAAAGCTCTATTCTTTCTCCCTAGTTGCCTAACCACAGACTGGGTACATCTCTGGTATATATGGTAAGTTTCTGCTAGAATCCCCAGGAAGATATAAAAAGGGGCTTTTCCTCAGAGACATTGCTTTTCTGGTTTTTAAATAAATTGTCAGCAAGAAGAAAAGGCATGAGACCGATTTTCTACTTACCAGAATCGCATAAAGTTTCTTTTCCTCATCACTAACTTATGTGAGAGCATGCCAGAATTTTCCGTGTCAATGCCATCTCGCTCACCAACCTCAAAAGATTATTGTGTCCTTTCCTCAAGGCCTTGTCTAGAAATGTGTCCACAGAGCAGAGACCGCTCCTGTAAAGTGCACAGTAGCCTGTCCCCACCACCTTCAAATCTCTTCTCAATTGTTGTGAGGAACTGGCAGGTCTGCTGCGAAAATGGGGGTGGGGGGAGTGTTGTGAAAAATGAGAACTTTAGCATTGAAGTCTTTTCCTTTCTATAAAATATTCCAACAAGAATCGAAGCACAAACCCGGGTGACTCATGATGACCCAACTCTCAGTCAACCTCCAGAACCTTCATTTGCTCCTCGGGCTCCTTGCAGGTTGCTGGTGGTCATCGGGGGGTTGCTGCTTCTGTGTGGCCTGACTTCGGCGTGCTTCCGCTGCTGCTGTTTGAGTCGCCAGCAAAATGGGGAAGACGGGGGCCCGCCCCCCTACGAAGTGACAGTCATCGCTTTTGATCATGACAGCACCCTCCAGAGTACCATCACGTGTGAGTGCACGGGTATTATAGCACGTGAGGGGCCTCTGCTTTGAGTGATTGAAGAAACAAACACCACGGTGGAATGAGTCCCAGGTCCTGGAGGCCATTTAGGATGGAGCATCTTCCTGCCTCTTGGAGATTCCAGGGCAGCAATCTTTGAGGAAGTAGATCTTTGAGAACAGATCTCCAGGCAGGTCTGCTCTTCCCTAGAGCTGCTGGTTAGTTCAAGGTTGAGGGTAGTGGCCGAGCACGTGGCTACAAAGGTCTAGAAACACTGATTTCATAGTATCGAGGTTCTGGAACTCAGGTTATTGTTAGTGTCCAGTAGCCGAATTGTCTGATGATCAGGTCTATGGATATTTTTTGCCGGACAGATGACCGAGTGAAGAAAGCAGTACAAGGCTGGATGAAAGATTTGATCCTAGAGCAGCACTTGGCAGGAGAGGCCCTCTTTGAAACTAAAGTCTAGCAAAAGGATTTGCCTGGAGACCTAATATTATTGGAAATGTTTTATAGTAAGAATGATCCAAAAATAATAAACATTTTTTTCTCTAAAGCCATTATAAACTCTCAGGATATCCCTCATTCAACATCGGTTGAATTTTGTGAAAACCTTAATGTTCTATTTTCTCTATTTTACATCTTTATGTAAAATAGTAGTACGTACTTTCAGCACTTCAGCTACGACTTGATACATTCCCTTTCAGCTCTCATATCCCCTAGGATGATCATAAGGCAATTCCCATGACTTTCTACATCCCATTTATTACATTGTTTCCTAAAATTGAGGAGTAAATATCAGTCAGAACATCAAGTTCCCAAACAATATGATCACGTATTTTGAAGAAAGAGCAACATAGCTTACTGTTACTTATCTCTTCTGCCTCCCTTCCCTAACTGCTGTCGCAGAGAACAGCTTAATACGGCAGCAAACAAAGATCCCGTGAGAGGCTGTGTGGTCAATGGGGTGGTGTCAGGTATTTCAAGCCTGCAAAAGGGAGAGGACCCGGTTGGGAGATACAGGAACACAATTTAGATTATGCCAGGATATCAGAGAAGGCAGGTTCTTTTAGCAGAGATGAAATTTGTTTCTAAACAAGCTAAACAGAATTGTCATTAAATGTGTGGCAACGAGTAAAAATGTGTGTTAACATTTGTTCAGAATGAAGCGGCATTGAGTGTATTATATGCATCTGATTTATGAGTATGTCATGTTTATGTTCATGTCACTCCTTCTTTTTCTTTTTTTAATCAGCCTTGCAATCAGTGTTTGGGCCTGCTGCGAGAAGAATCCTGGCTGTGGCTCATTCCCACAGTTCCCTGGGCCAAGTGCCTTCCTCTTTGGATACCCTCCCCGGCTATGAAGAAGCACTTCATATGAGTCGCTTTACCGTAGCACGGTGTGGGCAGAAAGCACCTGATCTACCCCCTGTACCCGAAGAAAGACAGCTGACTCCCAGGGAGAAGGAGTCTCCTCGAAGAGAGCGCTCTCCTAATTGACGGAAACTTTGCTTTGCTTAAGAACGGGAGGATCTCAAGCGTGCCGAGGTGCATAGACTTATGGGACATTTCCTCCTCTCAAAGATTAAGGGAGCCATCCAAACAGGATTCTGTGAAAAAGATGAGTGATTGCTCTTGGTTCTCAGCCAATTTCCCATGCTTGATCTAGTGGCCGGAATTGGCAACTGACCTTTAGCCATGCCAATTACCACAAAACCAGGAAAGCACCAAAAGTGTTTCAAAAACCTTCCTGGATTCAGAATATAGAGAGGATCTTTAATTATATGATACTGCAAGTTGGCTTTCTCTCTGCCGACTGGGAGTGGTACACATCAGGAGAATGGGCACAGGGCAGGTCCAACCCAATCCTGATGCATCAACACCCTGCTTCTGAAGAGAACGGCCAGTTTCCACTGAAGAGAACCATCGTCTTGGACAGCTTCATAGCCAAGTGGCTGTCCAGAATCCAGGGGTAGGGGGACCAGTCTGGGCTGAGGGAACGCCTGACAGAACCGACACAAGGAAAACCAAGGTTTGCAGGCCCACTCACCAGGATTATAAAAAAACTGCACAGAATCTAATAAGCATTCCATTAGTTCTCCATTTCGCTTCTGAAAACGTGTGCGGACACACACACAAACACGCATGCCGTTCTTTCTAAGGTAATTTTGTGATACCTAGGAGTAGCATTGCTTTGCCTTTCTCGCCATTCCCACATTGACTGCTTCAAGCCTCAAAGTGTGTATCCAGGAGCTGAGGACATTAGTCTCTGGTTTGGGCCCTCTCCGCCACCTACTGGACAATTGTGGTAATTCTCTTCTCCCTTTAGGGCCTCTCAGCTTTTGTAAGCTTGAAGGGGCATCTTTCCCTAGCATCAGGCTGCTTACTGTGTAATGAAAACCTGTCCACAAAAAATGCTATCCTACTTAAAGTGATGCTGCTGGGAATCCGAGGAATTGTGTATTGGGGGGAAATATTCATCAGTGATCTTGAAGCAGCACTTGCATCTTTAAAACTAATTTTCAGTTCTGAAAAATAGGGGGTACTGCCTGTAGAAGGGGAAGGTGACATGGGGTGGCATCTGGCTATCATCTTTTTTTTTTAACTCTCTTGTGACACCAAATATCTCTCCCATGGTACTCTGCTTCTGTGACTGGGATTGTTAATACATTGTAAAGGCCACACAGAATTTAGAGACCAAGTTCACGATTATGGGGTTTCTTAGGGAAGTTTCTTAGGGACAATCCAGCTATTCAGTCAAGACAGTCTCTTCTCTGCCATGACACAGGCAGGCCCTCAGCCATTTGCCCTGGCCTCTGCCCTACATGGGCTGCATGGGCAATGGTAAGCTCTTCTAAGGCTGCCAGCGAATGCCCAAAAGGGAGGTCACACCACCGTAAACCTCAGCCTAAAGGTACCCAGCTCCTCCAGTTAACTGTCCAGAAGTACCCCCTCCACAAACAAGTCTCTTGTTCCAAAGTTCAACTGTTTTTCCCCTGTGGGCTGGCAAGGCCACCGTTGTCTCGTACTCTGGCTTCAGGTTCTAGTGCTACTGCTCCTCTGGGGTCAAAGCTGTGTCCTGGGTAAAGGAGTTTCAGTGGCCAGGTATCTCCTGGTTCTTCACTCTTGCTGGTAACAAAATCAGCTTCTGAGGTGGCTGATTTTATACACAGCAGGAAGGCTGTCGCCATTAACCTTATTAACAATCACTCACAGTTGAATCATATAATATAATCAGTACGTTTCCCCATCTTCTTCCCAGACCCATCAGTAAAACGAAGATCATTTGTCAGAGTAACAAAGACTGTGGCTCAAAGACCTCTATTTAAAAACTCACTGTAGTGCAATGCCTCTCAGGAGTGTTGTAAGGTTCAAATGACCTAACCATATGTTACATGATTTATAAAATCTTATGTAATTTTTTTGCTATTATTCTTATTATTGACATCAAATCTGAATCTGTCTACTGTGATTCTACTCAATATTGTTTTCTGATTCATCCCTTTGTCTGCTTGCTACACTATTCCTAAACTGTACTGAGGTGGCTTTGTTGTATCAATAAATATTTGTGCTCGAAGTAATAACCAGAGCCATAAGTGAGTCTTTTTAATGTGTTCTGGGTAAAAATAAAGGGTACTTGGGAAGATTTAGTGCTGATTAAGCAATTAACTTCAGTACTGAGGGAGGCAATGCAGACCTAGGGGATGGCTACTTAGTACAGTGTCTCATTAGCTACATTCTTGAAATGCTCACTCAGCTCAGAGGTTGAACCGTTCTGAGGAGCAAGCACTGGCAATGTGAATTTATCTTGAGTCATGTATTAAATGGCCTCTGGAAAACACTGAATTCTTAAGAGTGCCTTGGGTGGACTTGTTTTGCCATAGTAAATGAATCATTTCATCATCATACTATCATTAAATATTCCAGGACCTTATATCGACCGAAACACCCTGGTCTTGAAGAAGTTCGAAAATTGAAGGGCATGAAAAAAAAATAGTCTTGGAAGAAAATCTGCCTATTTATTCTCTTGTTCTAAAGAGAACCCATCCCCTTATTTTAAATATGGACCCACTCCCATTCATTTTCGATTTCTTTATCCTATGCGGCCAGCATAAACGGGTCTTGTTCTGACCTGCTTCGTGTTACAGTCTTAGCAGTAACCCCTCCCCCCTCCCAGCCTTTATCAAACAGCCTCCTTCCTTGTTATTGTTGTTGGTGGCTGTTGAGTTAATTTAGGCAACATAAGGTTTTCAGGACCATGGCCTTTGGGAAACAGATCACCAGCCCTGTCTTCGGGGGTGATTCTGGCAGGATTTAAGCCGCCAGCCTTTCAGTGAGAAGGCAAGTGCTTCAAGCCATTTGTGGCACCCAACAGTTGTACACTCCTATTGTTCCCCCATGTTGTCATAAGCTCCCAGCAAAGATGCAGCTTAATTTCCTTCCCTCCTCTGTATCAAAGACATATGTTATATACATCAACCCATTCACCATTGCTCTCATAATGTTTGCTCTCAAAATCTCTCCAGATTGACGAAGCTTTCTAATGCCTTTGCAACAGCTAAATTTCTGAATGGTACTTGAGAAAAATTCTCAATTCCACTGATTGAGGCCATGATAAGTTCCTGATCTCCACCCTCCCCTAACCTTATATTTAATATTCCTTCTGGAATTTTTCCATTCCTCTTGAAACTTCACACTTCATTGCCTGTTCATTAATTACATGTAGAGTGAATCAAAGCCTTCGTGCAACATCTTGCCCCAAATTTATGAGCCTCTGTAGACTTGTAGCTATCCCCTGTTTTTCTTCCTTTTTTATTTCTTTTTTTTTAATCAATTTATTGGGGCTCATACAATTCATCACAATACATAGATCAATTGTATAAAACACATCTATACATTTGTTGCCCTCATTATTCCCAAAATTCGCTTGCCTCTTGGGTTCCCGGAATCAGCTCATTTTCCTTTTTCCCCCCTCCCCTTCCCTTCCTCCTCCCCTCTCCCCCATGCACCCTTAATAATTTATAAATTATTATTGTATCTTATATTACACTGTCCGGCATCTCCCTTCACCCACCCTTCTGCTGCCCGTCCCCCAGAGAGGAGGTTAGATGTAGCTCCCTGTGATCCATTCCCCCTTTCTTCACCCCCTTCCCTCCTGGTATCGCCACTGTCACCCCTGGTCCTGAGAGGTTCATCTGTCCTAGATTCCCTGCGTTTCTAATTCCCATCTGTACCGCTGTGCTTCATCTGGTCTAACCAGGTCTGCAAGGCAATATTGGGGTCCTGGTAGTTGGGGGGAGCTTCCTTTTTTATTTCATTGATAGGAATTCCCTCAAAGAGATGCAGTGATGCAGCGGCTAAAACAACGGGTTCAATGGACAAGTATGAGGATAGTTCAGGCCCAGGCAATGTGCCGTTCTGTTATACGTTGGTTGCTATGAGTTGGAACTAGCACAACAGCATATAACAATACATTTCGTTGAATTAGAAACCCTAAGGGTGTTGAGGGTTACACATTGGGCTGTAACGACAAACTCAGCCATTCAGAATCACTAGCCTCCCTTAGGGAGAAAGATAAGACTCTACTCCCAATAAAGATTTATAGGCTCAGAACCCCACAGAGGCAGTTCTCCTTGTCCTACAGCAGCGGTTCTCAACCTGTGGGTCACGACCCTTTTGAAGGTCAAACAACCTTTTCACAGGAGTCCCCTAAGACCATCGGAAAACACATATTTCTGATGGTCTAAGGAACCGAGACAGAGCTCCTCTGTCTCACCCTTTGCACTGATGTGGGCATTTTACGCCTACTGTGGCAGTGCGTTTACTTTCCCTCCACTCATAATAGTACTTCTTACTGCTCTCTGCATTGATTCCATGGTGGTTTTGTTTTTCGTTTTATGACAAGTATTCTTTAATACATTGTGTTGAGATTAGCACAGGTAAGGTTAAAAAAAGTGTAAGCTAGGCAAACAGGATCTCTGAATCTGTCTTTATAGAGCTTACATTGTTATAGGAAGGGTCTGCGGAAAAAACCTCTGTATTTTCCCTGTTTGTTCCTGTTAGGGTTCTCTAGAGAAACAAAACCAGAATGCTAATAATTTTATATATATTTAGATAGATAGATAGATAGATAGATAGATAGATAGATAGATAGATAGTATAAGAAATAAACACTTCATTAAATTATAAAGCAGTACAAATGGCTCAGTACAACTCACTCCTGTGAGACAGTTGTGAGACACTGGCAGTCCTTCAAGTCTTGAGGGCCGCTGGTTAGTCCTCTGTAGAGTAATTCAGGCTATCCGGGCACAGGCAGCAAACAGCAAGGCAGGTCACCAACAGTCAGACAGATGACAGGGTCCGACAGTCCCCAGCTCAAGATATGTAAATTCCAATAGTGTGGCGAAGCAGATCTTGAAGGAGCCTCAAATTGCAGCAACACAGTCCATGGGTTAGGTGTCCCACAGGTAGCGTAGCTTGAAAATTGAGGCACAGAACAAGCAAGGCAGCCGCACACTGGTCCGATGCTCAAAGAGCAAGAGACAAGAAAGGCGAGGCTCACCGAGCTGATTATCTCTCCGCTCTTCAATTAATCCCACATGTGTTCATTGGCTATGTGGACTCAATAAACTTACTATCACAGTTTCTCATAAGGAAACAAAGAAAAGGGTAGTAAACCCCACAAGAACAAAACAAGAAAAAAGAAACAAAAGCTGAACTACACAACAATAAGTAGTAGAGAGAGCTCTGAGGAAAGCCAGAGAGAAGAGACTAGCTTTCAAGATGAGAGGAAGTTGGGTCAACTTGGGAACTGAATAAAAGCCTAGAGCAGTGTGGCTTGGAGTGAGGAAAGGGAAGGCTTGCAGGAAACGAAGCTTAAGGGGGCGAGCAGACTTTAGGGAAAAGGAGAATGGAATATATTTTGCGTGTACTGGGATGCCACTAAATTATTGTAAACAGTAAATAACTTGTCATAATTCGAATTAGAAGACTATGATTCTTGATGCTACACAAAGAATGTGCCGGGTAAGATCCATCTGAAAGAAGGATGATCAGATAGAAGCTTATTGAAAACAATAGCTCTGAGAGGACTGCGACTAGGTGTGGAGTGGTGACAATGAAGGTAAAGGTGGGGATTTGGGACATCTAGCTCTATCTCTATTTCTATTCATCTGGATTATGGCACCAGGGGCTAAGTTTGGACTGCAAACTACAAGATTGGCAGTTGGATCCTACCAGCTGCTCCACGTAAGCTGAGGCTGTCTGTTTCCATGAAGATTTATAGTCTCAGAAGCCCTACGGAGCAATTCTACTTAGTCCTATAGGGTCATTATAAATGGGACTTTACTCATGATTTCCTGTTTCTCCGAAAATAAGACAGGTCCTTATATTAATTTTTGTTCCCAAAGATGCGCTAAGTCTTATTTTCAGGGGATGTCTTATTTTTCCATGAAGAAGAATACGGTACACATTTATTGTTGAACAACAAAAAAGGAAATTTATTACTTATATACGGCATGGTAGTAGTTGTCATCACAAGCCAGTATAATAAGACAAACTGTGAATCCTACACTATCAAGAATTTCTTGTTACTACCATTATTTCCATGTACAACAATCTATGGTACACTTACTCGCACTTCCTGTCTGTTCCGCCGCCGCTTTGGTCCAGAGTCCAGGGTTATGGTAGCTTCGGGGGGCCTTATGTTCGGGGAGGTCTTATTTTCGGGGGGTGTCTTATATTTCAGCGAGAGGCAAAACTGTAAGTAGGTCTTATTTGGGGGGGATGTCTTACTTTTGGGGAAACACGGTAGCAAATTGTATTTCCATCTGTATCATCTATGTGAGAGGGCTTTTAATATTTCATGGAAAAAATGGAATCAAAAGGTAATGGGATTTCTCCAAAAATTTTTTGAACCTCCATATTAAAAGTATGTTCATCAAAATTTGTTGATGGGCTAGTTAAGGAAAAGTAGCAAGGGGGAAAAAAATCAAGACTAATTTCTCCCTCACAGATCTAAGCCATACAGGGAAGGTGGAGACATTTATCAGGATCGGGAACACTGCAGTTAGGCGAGATGTAAGAGAAAATTAAAGACAATGATTTGTAATAAACTGCTGGTGGTGGGTATATATCCAGTTAATTAAGATAAGGCCTAAGTAACAGGAAATGTTAAGATGTGCTGATGAGAAGTCAGTCAAAGTTTTTCGTAGGATTGAATATAAAACCCTCAAAATTAAACTAACTGCCTTCAAGTTCATTCCCACTTATAGCAACCATATGTAAGGTTTCTGAGCCTGTAAAACTTCCTGGAGGCAGAAAGGCTCATCTTTCTCCCAGGGAGCAACTGATGGGTTTGAACAAGTGACCTTCTTGTTAGTAGTCCAATGCTTAACCAATAGCACCACCAGGGATTGAACAAATAAGTGGTTGTTGTTGTTGTTAGGTGCTATCGAGTCAGGTCTGATGCAGAGTGACACTGTGAACAAGAGAACAAGATGCTGCCCCCTCCTGCACTATCCTCCCCATTGCTCTCCTATTTGAGCCCACTGTTGCAGCCACAGTGCTAATCCGTTTTGTTGAGGGACT